GAGAATAATTGCAGAATAATCGCAGGAATGACAAGTATTTGTCATCTCTGCTACAATGGAACAGACTGGAATAATCATATAAGACTCTGCAAATGCTTCTAAAAAAGTAACATGAGAAGAAACAGAGCTAGGTCTAGCGATATAAGGATGGGGCACTGAGAGGACAGAGGGGCAGATAATAGAGATGGCCAAATTTTCTGTCAGAGGGAAGACACCCCTGGTTAAATTCAAAGAGACATGAGAAGGCATGAAGCACTTCAGCTGCTGGGCAGGATGGCACCAAGGGTCACCACACATTGCATTTGACACGCTTGAGCACGCTCACTGTTCCAGGAAAATTCAGCTGCATCAGAGGGGAAGACACGAGCAGGCTGCTGCACCCTCTTCCCTTCAGCACCTCTGTGCATTTTCATAAAATACCCAGGAAATGCTGTAAAAGCAACCTTCTGCCTCCCAAGAGCAAGCTGCACCACAACAAACAAGAACAAGGCTGACTACAGTGGAACTGAAACTAGACCATATTTTAATGTCAGCCCAAAACTATCCAGCTTGTGGGGTGCACAGGCTGGACAGCCAGTGAGAGGGTCCCAAAACTACCCTTTGCAGGGACTTGTGCCAGCAGCTGGGGGTCCCCAGCAGCAAAGGTACCAGGGACGGCTGAAGGGACAGAAGCTTCTCCAGCAAGGCAGAACACAGAAGTATCAAGAACAAAGCTCACACAAATGGGATTTGAAGAGCTTCACTGCTCCACAACACGGAGAGAAACAAGAACAAGTTCTAACATTTGCAGCAAACAAATATTTGAAGGAGAACTGGAGAATGGCAAAATTCACACTTCACATCTATAGTCTGACTATTGATTTGGATTAAATGAGGATCAGATAACCATGAGGTCACAGAAGTGAGGGTAACGTGCACATGACCTTTTATCACCAGGATCCAGGTTCAGTAGAAATGAGATAGGAAAATTTGCTCTGGTATCTAATGCCAGTATTAAGCTCATTTGATTTTCTCTATTCTCTGTACTCCCACATAAAGGTTTTCCAGATCTGTGGCTGCTCAAACACATTTCCTCAGAACATCACAGCCGCCGACCACAAAAGTGAGTCATGGCAAGTACCCAAAACACAATGCTACCCTAATATCCATCTAGCACTTCCAACACTGTCACCTGGAAAATGCCTCACAACAGAAATATTAGAGGAATGGCTATCCACACAAAACACACATACCAGGAAAAGCAAACGCTCCTTATTATTTCTTTATTTACTGCATTATTGCATTTAATAATTTCAGACAAAACAACTCCTTTAAAAAAAAATCACGCACTTTTAAAGGAGCAACTTGTAAAGTGCTTAGGTAACCATTGTAGTAGGTATTACTGCTATCTATGGAAGAAAATGGAAATACCTATATTTGTTCATTTCTGTCTGTAAACTAGTTAAGAACAGCCATACTGACTGCACTATGCACTAGCCAAAGCCGCATAAATCTTATTTATCAGATATCCATCTCCATTACACTTTGAAGCACATGCACGCACTTTCTGTAACAAAGTAGTTGCCAGTCAAAATGCACAGCCACCTCTTTAGAATGAGTTTCAGCTCATGGATGAATGAGCACATTGTGATGGTATGACTGAACGAAAACTGAGGGGCAAACACAGCGCTGGTAAAATTCAAAAATACTGCTGCAGGAACAAACTGCTGCCTATAGTAAGGCAGCACTATATTCTATAAACATCACCTACGGTGCTATTTAGCCTTTGCTGATGAGCTGGATGTGAGCAGGAAAAGCTGTGCTGGAGAAGGGCACACACCAGCCCTGCTGCTGCTCCACAGCCTCCTGGTCACTGCTGCAGTTAGACACAGCTGCCTCTGCAGCCCCCCCGCCCCGTGCTCCTGACCCACGGAATATGCCACATGATCAGCCCTTGGCTGCACAACTAGGCAGCCACTCCACACTACTGGGGATTGGTTTGCTTTCCCAGCCAGTGGCTTGTATCGTTTACAAATAAGAGATAGAAACCCACACGATTAAGTCAAACATGTGCTGCTTCCCCAAACCCGCAGAGGAAATGCAGACAGCCCAAATTCCCCTTTAACACAGCATTCATGTGTTGATTTTAACTGTTTCATCAAGGAGAAAGATAAGAATAGTCTGCTGTGGTACAAATCTCCAATTTCAGATCTCACCTCCAGCATCCCACAAACCTTGCAGCTGAATTTTCACCTTACAGCTTCTGTAATCTGGGGAGAGTAAAACTGATGTAACCCATTGAAAACAACAATCAAACACTACTTTTATTTCCAGCGGTATAAGGAACGCTGCAATAACAGCATGACCTTGCATATTAAAATACGATGATCTAGATGGTGTAACAGCAACTTGTTGGCCACATAACTGACCACAGTCAGGGTAACTGCCCTGGGGAGGTCACTGCATGCATACCCTCATGTTCTCCCTTAAACACTCCCTGCTGTCCACCAAAGGTGCGATATGGAGCTAGAAGGCTGTCTGACCCGACTCAGGGTGATTGTTCTGGACAAGAACCTTATCTCTGGGCATCATACCTTCTTCTGCCTGGACCTCCCCTTCCTGCACCCTCAGATTCACAGTTCAGCAGTGCGTTTGTTATCCTATAAAAAACACTGCTGGAAGGTATTGGCAGACAGATACTTTGCCTGCAAAGCACAGTCTGAAGGCTCACAAGGTAAGGAAGTCAAAGAAGGTCTACTGAAAGTCAGTAAGAAAGCCAGACAACACAGGACAGCATGAAAGAAAAAAAAAAAAAATCAGTGAAATACAGATATTTCAAAATGGGGAAAAGTCAGCTTCAAACAAGGTTCTCCTACAATGTCACGAGTTTGAGAAACACTGCTGTGCGAAATATAGTACCTGACCCAAAAAGGACAGGGGGAGGTGGGGGGCAGAAAGCCAGGGGGAAGGGCCAGAATCCATGTAGGACTTCAGGAATTTCTGGAACAGGTTTCAAAAGCAGAATATGGAGAAAAACAAGGAAAGCCTGACTGCTGATCATTTTTAAATGTGTAAATGGAGAAATAAATGCAACAATATTTTTCGCAGACAGGATGTGCTTTATTTTTAGCTTGGCCCTCGCAATACAGCTGTGCTGTGTCTGGGATCCACAAAGCACCTGCCTGCCAGACCAAGCCAAGAGCCTGCACTCTTAGGGCTTACTCAATGCTCACCACCAACAGCATTTCCACTTGAGTAAAAGGTGCTTGAGTGCCATTCATAATGCTGAAGAAGCCAGCAAGCCATCATTCGAGTGCCACTGGTCTAGAAGACAGCCACTTGGACAAAGAGAATAGATGTGCCAAATTTTAAAATGTTATAAAAGCAGGGCACTGTCGCAGTTTGATCCACTGCACAGTCATGGAAACTGAGAGACCAACTCAGCGTCATTTTCAATTACCAAAAGCTTGTCATAACATGTACAGAGCAGTGACAGCATCCCAAAGATTTACCTCCAGGGCACAAAATTAAATAGCTATTACCCAATGTGAGAAATCACATTTTAAAGCCTCTGCCTTTGAAATGGCAAGTATCCACAGCTCTTTTCAGATGCTAATTTTGTCTATGAGAACAGGAAAAAACCTCAGAAAATTTAGCAGAGAAACATCCACAATAGCTCATTTACTAGAAATGCACTGATAAGCACCTTTCTTTTTTTTTGTTAATTTGGCTGACGTAGTCCTGAAGCACAGCAATTTGGTTTCACTGCCCAAATCATACAGCTATTTTGATCATTACACATTCTTCACATTTTCAATACACAAAGAACAACACCATACTGGTTTAGGTGAAATGAAAAGGTTGTATCTTGACTCGCAGTTGCAGAGGGCCAGGGAGGCAAGTCTTCATCGTGTATTGCAGCCTCCCAAAACCTTGCACGACATGAGGGGTCCAGGTGATAAGCACCGTCTATTGTTATGGTCTTTTTAGAAAGGTACACAAACATTTCCCCACTATAAATATGCACAAAACGTTTAATAAACGTTAACGCAGCTGACAAAAAGCCAGTGCTAAACTCCTTCCAACAGTCACACATGTCAGCTTCTCCTACTGACCCCTAAATCTGATTCGTTTATGGGAAAGAGATCACTTTGACAGCCACCAGCTTCTTCCAAAAACGCAGAAGACATCCTACCTGCAGGGCCCTGCTGCTCCACATACGCTCTCTGATGGAAGGATTCCGTGCTAGCCATTTTTGTTCGGGAGAAAGCCTGCCTGCTCCAAAGGGAGCTGGAGGCAGCAGCGCCCAGGTACGAACACCAAACCCCTCCCACCCTTGGCTGGCCAGGGCTGGCTCCGCCGGTCCCCGCTCTCCGACCAGCCCTGCGCCCCGAGAGCGGCGGGCACGGCGGGGCCGGCGCTGCCCTCCCGGCACACGGGGCAAGCCGGGGGCGCAGGCTGAGCTGGGGAACTCCCCGGCCCGCGTACCTGTCCGGACCGCGGGTTCCTCGGCCGGGCGGCGGCGGCCCTTCCCCTCTGCCCGCAAAACCCAGCCCCGCGGCCGTCCCGCTCCCCGGCAGGCTCCCGGTGCCCCCGAGACGGTGGCACAGGGATAACAAAGCCCGGCGGAGCGACGGCGGCGCTCACCTGCCCAGCGGACGCTTCATGCCCTCGGCGGCGGCGGAGGCAGGCAGGCGCAGGCTTCGTCTCAGGCTGCAGCCCTTGTCGAGGGGCCCGGGCACGGCGGCAGAGGCGGCGCGCTCATGCTCCACCGTGACCGACTCGTTGCGTTTCCTCATGCCGGGGCGGGGGCGGCAGCGGCGGCGACGGAGACGGCGGCAGCGGAGCGGAGCCGCGCTCGCTCGCCGCGCGCCCTGCCCGGCACTGCCCGGCCCCGCCCCGCGCCCCGCCCCGCCGGCGCGCCCGCCAATCCCCGCCCCCCGCCGCTCCCCTCGCCCCGCCCCTCCACCGCCCCCACCAATCCCCGCCTCCGACGCCAGCCCGCCCGCCAGCGCCTCGGAGCGGCCGCGGCGCCATCTCTACTGCGGGCAAGGGCCCGGCCGCCATTTCGCTGTGGGCCGAGGCGGGGCCCCGCGCACCGGAGGGGGCGGCGCTGCTGAGGGCGGGAGCTCCGTGTGCCCGTGAAAGAACCCCCGCCTGGGCTGCATGGGGGTGGAAGGGTCGTGAGACCGGCCTGGAGTGTCAGTGCGCTGGTTCTGGAATGGGGAGAGTCAGCGCTGACCTACTGATAGACTCGGCGGTGGGCACAGAGACGGGGAGGAAGCTCTCTGATGGCGCACAAGTGGTATGATACCACATTAGAAAATAGGTCCTCATTTGACTTACGTCTAAGGAGGCACCACACAGCCTGGGCAAGGAAGTTACAGAGCTTCCCTGGTTCTGCGGGGGTGTTGCAAAGTGTGGAATATGTCAATTTTTTCTTAAGAAAGGAAGTTCTTACACGTTTGATCTTTGTATGCTTTTAAATCTAGTCAGCAAGAAAGGCAATTTTCCATGTGTTAGAAAAACAAATTAACTGCTTTGTTAAAGTTTTTAGTCTTAAGGTGCTTCAGTGATCTCAGACCTAGGGAGAGGTTAACAAAGATTTGGAAAAAGCATACCTGCTGATAGTGGACACAATTTATGGGCCACAAAGACACCTGGTAGAACCCCCAAAGGAAGAAAGGAAGAAATTAATAAAGCAAAGTTAGCAATTGTCCTATGATCAACTGCAACTGGGTAAAATGTAATTCTGTCAGGGAATTACATCTGTGGCCGCCACGAGCTCAAGAAAGACAGCGATCCATAAGATGAGTGGGTGTACAAGCTAGTTAGCATGAGAAACATTTCTTCTGAATTGTTGCCAAGTGATCCTGTACCCCAGATTCCAGCGAAATAAATAAATTTAAAAATCCCAGGAGGTACTGAACCAAGGAGGAAGCAATTGTTCTAATACAAGCCTGTACTATCTAGCAGTTACAGATAACTAGCAGAAAGTAATGTATAATGAACTGATACATGTTTTATCTTGTTCCTACAAGCTTCTAACAGTTGAGATTTTCAGAAACTTTCTCTTGATAAGATCATAATTGCGAAAACTTTCAGCCAGGCTTTCAGAAAGACTGGTTGTACTTTTGCATGCTTTGAGCAGCAAGGGTTATGTTCATGTCCATTTGATTTTGTTCCATTTTCTAGGTCTCATTAAGAAGACTGAGTTCTGCAATTGAGCATTGTCAGGAGCTTTGTCTGGTGACAACATGAGTGGTGGCCACTTCGAAAGCAAAGGTTGTATGGGGCTTGGGAGTGGCAATGTAGTGCTGTGAGGAGGAAATTGCAAGCTGCTCCACCGGCTGTGAAACAGGGGAATAGACTCAGCTGCCATAAATCCTCTGAAATGCCTCAGAGTGAAGTTTACCACTGAGGACAACTAAGAAAAACTACTTGCAAGTCAATCTTTGTGGGGTGAGTCTTACTACCAGTTGGCTTTTTCTCTGTGCTAGAAAGAAACAAGTATTTTCTTGTGGACCCCTTAAGCTAACCTCAGCATTTCTACATGCTTCCCTTCCTTAACTACACAGGTGTATAAACAGGTGCTTGCTTGGTCTCTCCAATCATAGGAGGTATTTAAGATTAAGGTATCACCACTTTTTTTTTTTTTTTTTTTTTTTTTTTTTTTTTTAGTGTAATGTCCTCTGTGCTGCTGATGCACAGAATACTGAGTTGTAGAACCATACAATCATTAGGGTTGGAAAAGACCCTCAGGATCATTGAGTCCAACCATTAGCTCAGCATCGCCGCGTTCACTACTAAACCATGTCCCCAGATGCCACGTTTAGACATTCTTTGAACACTTCCAGGATAGTGACTCCACCCTGGGCAGAGTCTGACCCTTTCAGTGACAAATTTTTCCTACTCCAAACCTCCCCTGGGAAAATGGCACTTGAGGTTCTTACTTCTTGTCCTATCAGTTGTGACCTCGGAGAAGAGGCCAATCCCCATCTCACTACAATCTCCTTTGAGGAATATGTAGAGAGCAGCAAGATCTCCTCTGAGCCCCCTTTTCTCCAGGCTGAAGAGTTTCTAGTCACCCCTTGCAGCACTCCAGCTGTGTGAGTCATCCCACCAGTATGAAGAGGTTCTTCCATTTGGGATCAGTACTTGCCCTTCTGACAAACTGAAAGAGAGTAACGGGCCTTTCTGTGAATTATCCTCAGAAATTACCACACACACACCCCCTGAAATCAATGCACAAGATCCATTCTGAATTCCAAGTTAACCCTCGTGGTGGAATTCTGGTCAACTTGAGAGATTGTTGACGCAATAGTCCCCTACAAACCTTACTTCTGCTGCTGGTATAAGCAACCCAGGGTGAAATTCTGCCATCTGTTGTCAACAAATACTGTATCTGAACAATGCAAAACAGCTGAGGAAATGTGCTGACACAGGATTTCTTACCTGTCAGTAACTTCATGTAGTTCTACAAAACATGTACAGGAAGAACAGGAAAATCGAGTCAGAGTAAAGGTTGGGAAAGAATCTGGGATTTCTTAGCTCAAGGCATGAACAAAGATTACAATAGAGCAATAGTAGAAACTATTGCTATGGGCAAGGACAAATTCCAAAGAGTTTCTGTATGTGTGGAGTGATCCTAAATAGGTCTGGAGACAGACCATGGGGCAAGGACACAGCCTGCTGGAGTACACCATTGTCAGCCTCCTTCCCATGCCTCCTTCAGAGGCAGCTGCACCTGGATTTACCAGCCTGATCTGGAGAAGAGGAAGACTGATGGAAAGCAAAGGGTAGCAAATGAGTACTGATCCTTAGTAGCACTTTCAAGAGAAGGAATGAGAACTGGTTTTGAGCTCAAACAAATCTCCTCAAAAGACAGAAACCAGAGCAGGAGATACTGAAGGGACCTGGAAAGACCAGGATAAAGTTCTGGTTAGGAAACCACTGTGAGAAAAGTCTCTGGAGAGCACAAAGATATTCAAAGCAGCAGAGAAATTAGAAAAGGGGCAGAGCCATCTTCTTTGAGATGGTACCTGAAAGGGGAACAAAAACCAAGGTGAGGTAAATCAAGGCAGAGCAGACACTGCAAGGTGCTGCTAAAGGCAGCCTCTGGAAATGCAGAGAGGCCTGCTAGGAGGACAGCTTTCTGTTCCTCAGCACCATAGGCTTCTTCATCTGCTTGCTCAACTATTGTAAATGTAGGTGAATTCAGTGGAAAGAAATGATGATGTTTGACCCTAGTTTAGAAGGTTGAATGATTTTTTTTTATTATAACTATACTATAATACATTAATATACTATTTAAAGGCTATACTAAAACTATATATTTACTTTTTCTAACTACTATATCTGACTCACAACTTGTGATCCTCTCTTGACAGTTTAGACTCGAGTGGATTGGATTTGCCATCAGGCTCAAACAATCCACACCAGAATCCAATTAAGCAATTACCCTAGGTAAACAATTCTCTAAACACATTCTACATGGGGAAAACAAGAAGCAGAAATAGAAATTGTTTTCTCTTTCTTTCTTCTGTGTTCCTCTATGAAAAATCTTGAAAGAGGGAAGAATGTGCCTGCGACACCCAACTGTTTCCTAGCTGGACCATGTAGAGAAAATTATGAAGAGCTCAGATAGAAAGTGGAGACATACTTCCATGCTGAATGCATCCTTCCTGAAGGCAGGAGAATTTACATGCCCCCATCCCAAGCTGCCCCCATCCCAAGCTGCTCCCAGTCCCCCGCCTTGCAGTCCTAGATCAGGGGCTGACTTGTGGCAAGACAAGACTGCTGGGTCTGGCCCAGCAGGTGCTGCAGGTTGGTGGCATAAGAAGGCTTGTGGCCCCAGAGCAGGGTGCAGAGATGACCTCAGGACTCCATGTGTTTGCCAGGAAGAGGTCACAGAGCTTCTCCTGCTGGATATCAGTACATGCAGAAGCGTAGGATTGGCAGAAGCTCTGGCTCATTGCTGCCTTGGTGGGCAGTCCCTGATGTGGGGAGACCCTGAGGGACTCCCCACTAACATCCTGCCATATCATCCTTCTGGAAAATTTGGAGATGGGGACCCTCATGTTTTCTTCACTGTCCAGGAAGATGTTTTCCAGGTTTAAGCTTCTGCCGAGAATAGGTAGCATATGCTGTGGGTAGGCAGATGGAAGGTGGGCAGCTGCTGGGGCCAGGAAGGTCAGGAGGCAAGGGAGAAGCTGTGGATAAATGAGGGGCCAGGGCAGGGAGGAGAGCTTGGACTGGTAAGCAGTAGTGTGGAGGGAGAATAGGTAAGGGTGCAGTGCTGCAGTCAGATGTGGACATGAAAAGAGGCTTCCAGGAAGTTCTTCACTACCTGGGCTGGTTACCCCAGGCACCTGCTCTGGGATGCTCCTCGAGGGGGCTGGTCCACGAGGAGATAAAAGCTGTCTCCATGCCTTGGCTCAACGGGATGAGCCCTTTGGGATCCGTGGACGCATGGGCTTGGCATGGCCCTGCCCCCCGCTGGCTCCCCTTTGCCCACTGCTGCTCCCCTAACCCTTATCAGCCCCCCACAAAGTGCCCACCATGCCTCCATCCTCCTGAACCTCCCAAGAGCTCCCTGCCCCTCAGAATCCCTGCCCTTTGCCTCACAGTGCCCCCAGTGCCCAGGACTCCCCCAACCACTCCCTGCTCCTTTGAACCTCAAAAAACCCCTGCCACATTGAGCCATCCAGCAGCACTGCTGCCCATGAAGCAACCCAAAGGTGCTCCCATTTCCCCCTTAGCCCCTGATGCCCTGAGGACCCCCAGATGCACCCCCTTCCCTGCAGAACTTTGTGATGTTCAGGGGCTTCTCCTGCTGCCCTTGATAATGCCACCTTCTCACCCTGCCTACATCCAGTGGGGCAGGAATTTCCTGAGGTTTTCATCCAGTGCCTTCTTTTTGGAGATGACCTTGATGGCCACCTTGTGCTACAATGTTAGACAGAAGTTAGGCCAAAACATCAGTCACTTGACACCTGGACAAAGTCAGGGGCCAAATACCAGTTCACTGAAGCTGAGTTTCACCAACCTCCAGGACCAAGGAAAGCAAATGCAGAATTCCATGTGACAGCTTATGACAAGGAATGATGATAGCTACAAACTCTTCAAGCAAGTGGCTTTTACCTGCTCACACGGGCAGTTTCCTGCTCACAAGATGGTTGTGCTGGGGCTGTGGCCAGGGTCACTTGTGCACAACATAGAAGAAGAACAGAAGCCAGGATCTTGCTCTGCTCCTGGGTATCCTATAGAGTGCCAGTGACTGTCAGGTCAATGAAGATGATAACCACACTAACAACAGGCTCATGCACTGCTCTTTCAAAACACTCTTAGGGAATTTCTTCCCCACATGCCACACCAGGTTAGCTGAAAAGAATGTGCTCCTGCTGAAGCACCTCTGATACCACCCAGTCCCCTGCTTCTCTCCCCATTCATGTGCCACATTCCATGAGATCCTTACCACTGGCCTGGCTGCAGTGAATGGGAGCTCTTGCACCTCTTGCAACAAACCAGCAGACACACCTTAAGGACAATGATAGGAAGGACTGACATTAGACCTTCGAGACATCATGAACCCTAATGAGGTGCCCCTTTGCCAGCAGATCCTGCTTAGGTCCATGTACTCAAGAGCAGCTTGCTACCTGCTGGTTGCTTTTTGCCCACCTGGACCAAACACCAGGTGGGCTTGAAGGTGACACATGGAGGCTGTTGGGACACCATCGTTCCACTGTAAGGATGCTGGACCAGCTGCTAATGAGCTAATCGGGCTGCCCCATGTGAGGAGGGAAGTGTCCTGACCCCATGTCCCAGTAACAGCCTTCTCCTTATCAGCAGCCACAAAGCTCTGGCTGTGCTGGGCCTCGCAGTGCTCACACGCACATTTCTATTCACCCTTGGAACCACCAGCTTCACTCGCCCCCTTATTCCCACGGGCAGCCTCCCCAAAACTGTATATCGGAGCACTAACAAGCACCTCGCAAGGCGGGAGTGCAGACCCTGGGGCCAGCTCAAGCTGTTCGGGCTCCTCCTGCTCGAGCGAGGCAGAGGAGAGGCGGGCAGAACAAGAAGCCCAGTCGCTTTTCCTCCCGCTCTCGAGGAGGCAGCTGCACGCAGCGGGGACCCGAGAGCCCCGGGCAGGCGCTTGCCGTGTCCCGGGGAGCCCCGCACGCCCGGTCTCTCCCGCGGGAAGAAGCCGGGCCCGAACCCGCGCCCAGGCCGCTGCCCCGGAAGAGCCGCTCCCGCAGCCCCTCCCCCGAGGGCGTGCCCGGCGCCCGCGCGCCCTGTAGCCAATCAGAAAAATCAGCCGCCCTGCGTCAGCGGCACGCGGCGGCGGCGGAGGCTGTTGCTAGGCAGGCCGGCGCGCCTGGCCCAATGGGAGCGGGGCGCTGCGGCCGGGCCCGGGCGCAGGCGGCGGCGGCGGCGGCGGGCGCGGAGCGGTTGGGGGCCGGCGCTCACCATGCCCTACAAGCTGAAGAAGGAGAAGGTG